TTGGATGTCGTTGATAACGGGATCACATCATTAGGAGAATGATGTGATGGACAAGACCCAATCCTAAGACTAGCACAAAAGATCATGTAGTTCATTTGCTAGAGCTTTGCCAATGTCAAGTATCTCTTCCTTTGACCATGAGATCGTGTAACTCCTGGATACCGTAGGAGTGCTTTGGGTGTATCAAACGTCACAACGTAACTGGGTGACTATAAAGGTGCACTACAGGTATCTCCGAAAGTATCTATTGTTTTATGCGGATCGAGACTGGGATTTGTCACTCCGTGTAAACGGAGAGGTATCTCTGGGCCCACTCGGTAGGACATCATCAAATGCGCAATGTGACCAAGGAGTTGATCACGGGATGATGTGTTACGGAACGAGTAAAGTGACTTGCCGGTAACGAGATTGAACAAGGTATCGATATACCGACGATCGAATCTCGGGCAAGTAACATACCGATAGACAAAGGGAATTGAATACGGGATCGATTGAGTCCTTGACATCGTGGTTCATCCGATGAGATCATCGTGGAACATGTGGGAGCCATCATGGGTATCCAGATCCCGCTGTTGGTTATTGACCGGAGAACGTCTCGGTCATGTCTGCATGTCTCCCGAACCCGTAGGGTCTACACACTTAAGGTTCGATGACGCTAGGGTTATAAAGGAAGCTTGTATGTGGTTACCGAATGTTGTTCGGAGTCCCGGATGAGATCCCGGACATCACGAGGAGTTCCGGAATGGTCCGGAGGTAAAGATTTATATATAGGAAGTCCTGTTTCGGCCATCGGGACAAGTTTCGGGGTTATCGGTATTGTACCGGGACCACCGGAAGGGTCCCGGGGGCCCACCGGGTGGGGCCACCTGCCACGGGGGGCCACATGGGCTGTAGGGGGTGCGCCTTGGCCTACATGGGCCAAGGGCACCAGCCCCAAGAGGCCCATGCGCAAGGAAACTTGGAGAGGGAAGAGTCCTAAAGGGGGAAGGCACCTCCGAGGTGCCTTGGGGAGGATGGACTCCTCCCCATCCTTAGCCGCACCCCTTCCTTGGAGGAGGGGGCAAGGCTGCGCCCTCCCCCTCTCCCTTGGCCCTATATATAGTGGGGAAAAGGAGGAGCAATCAGACCTAAGGCCTTTGGTTGCCTCCCTCTCCCTCCCGTGACACATCTCCTCTCCCGTAGGTGCTCGGCGAAGCCCTGCGGGATTGCCACGCTCCTCCACCACCACCACGCCGTTGTGCTGCTGTTGGATGGAGTCTTCCTCAACCTCTCCCTCTCTCCTTGCTGGATCAAGGCGTGGGAGACGTCACCGGGCTGTACGTGTGTTGAACGCGGAGGTGCCGTCCGTTCGGCACTAGGATCATCGGTGATCTGAATCACGACGAGTACGACTCCATCAACCCCGTTCACTTGAACGCTTCCGCTTAGCGATCTACAAGGGTATGTAGATGCAAACTCACTCTCCTTCTACTCGTTGCTGGTCTCTCCATAGATAGATCTTGGTGTTGCGTAGGAAAATTTTTGAATTTCTGCTACGTTCCCCAACAGCTAACGCATGGAGCGATTCAGCGACAGCATCCGAGCGAATAAACCCACCAAAAGTGTCATGGGCCGTTGCTCTCCGTCGTGGTGCCCCTCCCAGGCGGCCTTCCACTGGGCGGACCTCGAGAACGGCGCGCGGTGGAGCCTGGGAGCCTTAGTTCGACGACTTCCTCGCCCTGGCGTGCCCGGTGCGTGCTAGCCTGGGAGCTCCCCCTGCTCCGGAGGGGTCCCGGTGTCCATTCCCATGGGTGATGACCCTGCAAAGGCTAGTGGTAGTCTGGCACAGGCGGCGCCTGCCGCGCCCATGCTTCAATTGCGGGGGTGCATCGTTGTGCCCCACCGAGGAGAGTCGTCGTTCGCTCGTCGGCTCGGCTCTTGCCTTTGTTGCGGCGTGAGCTGCCGCCGTCGGCCGCCTATCTCGGCAGAAAACCGCCTCTCCCATGGACATGTTCGACTAGGGATGCCTTGCTGCGTGGGCGTGTGGACGCATGCGTAGTGGGCCTGTCTTTGCTACTATGGTTGCATAACCTGTCTTTACTACTACTGTTGATACCATACCTGTTATCATATATGCTTAGTATAGATATGCTAGAGTCCCATCAATGGCCCTACATCCATGTCCGTCTGCCATGCTATATAATATCAAATCGTGATCCCTTTGGGCGATGATCAAACATATGCCCTATACTGTGTATCTTATATGTTACTTCGGTGGACCCCGGACTTCGATGGCCTACGACATGGAGCGAGATGGACTACAACGAGATGCCGACGAAGACAAAGACTATTATGACTTTATATTACATACACTATACATGAAGCATGTTCATACTAAAGTCGGGTCGGCTCGAAGAGCACCCGTGAGTGGTTCACTGTGGCGGCTGGCTGCTGGCGATAGGATTCGTCTTTTTGTTTCTCGAGTTACGTGTTGGATCTGGATAAAAAAACGACATGCTATGCACATGTTTTTTAGGGTAACATGGTATGCACATGTTGTACAAGTGTAATTGGGTTTTCTCAGATTTTATTGAACACTAGCAAGATGCTTATGCGTTGCACGGAACATCAAGATGCATTTATATGAGTAATTTATCTTGTGAGAGAAAAGAATGAATGAGGGGAGGCCTTATTTACAATGTGGAGAGGGGTGTGGGTATTTTTTAGCAAAATTGTCATAGTTTCCTTTTTATCCGTCAAATATAAAATCAGACGGCCTATATTGCAGGATGACAGGCACACCATCATCACCAACTCTATTTTTTACTCTCTCCGTCCGAAAATATTTGTCATCAAAATGGATAAGAAGAGGTGTATCTATAACTAAAATACATCTAGATATATTTTTTTTATTCATTTTGATGACAAGTATTTCTGAACGATGGGAGTATAAGAGTAGAGATAACGACGTTGTGGGCTGTCACAAGCTCCTTCCTTTACCCGACCTCGACTGGGCTGCAGTGATGACAAGGCCAACACGTTTCAACACCACATCAATCTTAAACCTAAAATGCTAAGGCCTTGTTCGGAGAGCCTCCACTCCACAACTCCACTTCCGGAGTTAATGGAATTGCAGTTGAAAACTACGGAGCGGTTATTTTCTGACTCCACAGTTTCTGGAATTTCGTGGAGCTGGTGAAATTTCAAACAGGCCTTAAATCTAGCACTTCAGTTCCGAAAGGATAGACTCGGTGCTAGAAGCTCCCATACCAGGTGGGTGTAGGGAAGGACCTCATGGCACAAATGGGGAGTACTTCACCATTGCGTCATGCACGTCCTCCTATCGCTCTAGTTCCAACACCAAAATAAATCATTCATGCATAATGCCCTGGATAAATGACACTGGAATTCCTTCCAAATTACGGCCCCAAAAATGCCATTATGCTCATTTTTGCCCATTTCAGTTGAATGATGTAGTATTTCACACTGTATTTCTGTATGGCCCAAAGTGCCCCATATTTCACACTGATCTCGTTCATCCAACACTGCTCAAAACTTCTTCTCCACCGCTGCTAATCTTCCTTCAACCGTTGGACCGTATCCCCGCTGAATAGTCATCGCAAGCATGCCATGACAATATACCAACCTGTGAAGAAGATAATCTGATCAGGGTGAACTACAATAACTGGACACATCAAGAAGCAACTTACGTCCACATAGTATTGTTGAGCAAAACATATATTGTTGCAGTATCTTAAGCAAGGAAATCTACTCCCTCCGTTCCTAAATATAAGTACTACATAGTACATACGGAAAGTATGTCTATATATATCCGTATGTAGTCCGTATTGGAATCTCTAAAAAGACTTATATTTATGAATGGAGGGAGTAGTACATTCACAAAATGTAATAAGTATGAAACAGATATATCAAGGACTAGAACATCGACGAATGTGTGAAAAGTGCATGATGTTATATGAAACATTATTCACTCACCATCTCGCCAGCTGCAGATCTTTCTAGTTTCAACAACCTTCATGTCGGAGCTGAAGGTTCTTGAGCGTCCAACATTTAACCACAATACATATTCATAACCGCCCGAAAACTTGAAAAGGCTATACCTGGCCTGTAAGGTTGTAATACTGCACACATTATGGAGAAAATATTTTTTTTCATTCCAAACTCTCATTCTAGCCCCTCCAACAGTATGTTGCTCACAGTGTCAGCATCAGCTGTTTGGAAGGCATTGTCAACTCATGTAGCCTCTTCTCCATCAATGGTGCAACCAACACAAGATGTGTCTTTGAATCAGGCACCCATCCCTTGTCTAGCATTTCATCTAGAAACTTACACGCCTCACTCTTAAAGGCTTCTTTGATGAGGCCATAAATGATAATGTTATAAATTCTAGGGCTTGTCATTCCATCTATATTTACCATTTTTAGTAAACTTCCCGAAATCCTGCGGAGTAACGAAAATATGGGCATGTCAAGGACTAACAGTTCAGATGTCTCTTGGTCAGAAACAAAGCCATAATCTACCATTTTGTTGAACAACAGAGCAGCATGAAGAATTGTCTCCTTGGCGAGGAAACAACAGAAAAGAACATTGTATGCATAGCTGTTCAATAGACACCGTTCCATCAGCATCTGTGCAAGGAGAAGCGACATATCCTTATCCTTCTTCAAACGGAGTGGTGCATGGATATTGGATAATTGTGTTTTAAGTGGAAAATGTACAACAAGTGCCGGTGAAAACAGCTAGTGAACGCATTCTGATCGGGTCACGGATCATTCCAGCCATACAACCCCCTTGAATTGGTATATCAAAGCGCCTCGCTGGTAAGGCTGTAACCTCTTTTGCAGTGATATTTGAAAACTCCGGCAGCTTCTTGGATACGCTCCATGTGCCACAAACCTTCTACCAGCTGTGAGAAAGATTCTGAATTAAGTAGTACCAAATTACTAACCTGGTTTTATTTTAGCACCCAGTAGTATACTTTTCTAATTTGGATGCTGCTCCTAGGAGAGGAGAGCAGAGGAAGGCGCCGGCGCAGGTGCCCCAGGATGCCTCGCCTCTCTGGCGGCTTGTTCACTCAAGATAGAGACTGCGACGAAACCGGCAATCGCTACGTAATTTGTTGCCATGAAAAGAATCAGGTGGGGTGCGTAAGCACGGGCGACTGGATACTGCTGCTTGAGACGCCTCCCGAGGACGTTGTGCCTTCCTTTCACGACGGTGCACCAGAGAGCCTTCCAAAGTGTGCAGGCCGACACCGGCACGATCAAAGTTACGACCGTGCCGTATAGTAGGGCGAAGCCGATGTATATGACGTGGTAGATGATGCGGTAGAGCGCCTCCGTGCTTGTCACTGCAGCGAGAGCTGCGTAGAAGGCAATGAACATGCTGACCAGCGACACCCATATGCAGTGCAGCGCCGCCGCGAAGCTCTTCCACGACCCCGCAGAGCGCGACGCCTTCCCGAAGACGAGAAGGACCACCGCGAGCACGGAGGTGACCAGGGCAAAGCTGTCAAGGATCAGGAAGAATTGGAAGAGGATCTTCTCCTGTAGCACCGCCATGCCCTTGAAGACCCTCTTGTCGGGTGCCGTGTCATCAGCTTGCTCATAGGAACCCGGCACGTTGTTGGCGGCGGTGAAGGTCACAGTGGCGATGAGCACGCCGACCACTGCGAGGCTGTCGGACATCTTCTCAATCCCTTGTGCTATGTCGCGGCCCCTCCATTGCTCTACATGGTCCCGCCTCTGAGGGCGAGATTGTGCTCCGAACGTGGCCAGCGTCACCACCAAGGCCAACTGCACCGTACTCGTAAACTTTAGTCCAACAATGTTCATATAGACAACCGAATTAATTAACGACGGATGTTAGTTGATGCAGACTCCAAGCAATGGCTGTTCTCAATGAGTATATGCTTACCATGGAGAAGAAACTGGTCGATCTAGCTGCGAGATCCAACGGCGTCTGGCCTTCGTTGTTCATGACGTCGGCACACAATTCACCACGCCACATCAAGGCCTCCACGGCGCTGGGCGCGCATGCGGCCACCGCGAGGTGGAGCGGCGTATTGCCATCCTCATCATGCGTGTTGAGGAGGCTGCGGGGCGTCGGCTTCTTCATGGCAAGCGACACGACCCTGGTGTGGCCTCCCCTGGCAGCGGCGTGCAAGAAGGTCCCGCCGCGGTCGTCCCGGAGCTCGGCGGCATCGGGGCAGGCCTTCATCAGCGCCTCAGCCACATGGGCATGGCCCATTCCCGCCGCCACGTGGAGAGCGGAGAGGCCGCCTGAGTCCCGCATGCGCACAGCGTGCGGCGCGACCCGCAGGATGGCACATACGACGGAGCGGTCACCGTCAGACGAAGCGAAATGGAGCGGAGTGCTGCCAGTGCCATCAGCTTTGCTTGCCAGGGATGGGCCAGATGGCTTCCAATCCAGTAGTAGGCTGACCATTTCTGACAATGCTCAGATGGTACAGATATATCAGTCAAGGGTTGACAAATCTGCATAAACTTTCAGAGTCTACTACAAACACCAAGGAGGAACTCGTCGCTAGCTGACCTGAGCCCTGGAAGACTGCAGCGTGCAGAGCATTCTGCGAGCTCGGACCAGCAGCCGACGCGTCGCTGCATCTGGTCGTTATTGCCCTGACGGCGGGTGCCGACTTGCTCATCACTGCCAAGTACAGCGGCGACAAGCCGGCGTTGTTAACCTCAGAGGCCAGCCCTGGCGCTGTGGAGACCATAGCCTCAACTGCTGTGCCATGGCCGAGCCTTGCTGCTAGATGCAGGGCCGTGTCCCCAGCCTCGTTCTTGCAGCACAAGATGCTCTGGTCTCCAGTGTCCATAGCGAGCTGGACGAGGAGAGACACAGCCATCTCATGGCCAGCCCTCGCCGCACAGTGCAGCGGCGTGTCCAGAGCCGAGTTGGGGGAAGAGAGTAAGCTCTTGTCCCCGAAGCTGGCGTAGAGCTTCCGGATCAGCTCGTCATGCCCTTGATCTGCAGCTAAATGAAAAACATTGTTCCTCTCTGCGCTGACCTGGTGTATACCTGAGAGTAACGATGCAAACATATGGGTTCCCACGCATTTTGAATGAAATTCCATTGGAAATGTCAACTCACTGGGTACCAAAATCAATTCAAAAAACTCTCAACTGTGTGTAAGGAACGAGCAGCCTTACCAGAGTTTAGTTGCAGAAGCAGCGCCATGGCTTCCTCCTTTTTGCCTCCGCACACGGCAAGGTACAGCTCGGAGCTCATCAGGCCGTCATCGCCAGGACCCGCACTGAGCTGGATGGAGTGATGGCGGCGATCCATCAACTAATCCAGACGGATCAAGCTCGCGGTCACCAACCTGTACTGTAAGCACTGAACTAGAGAAGGTGCGTACAGGGGCTACGCGACCCAGATGTACTAATATATCGTTGCCAGATTAACCTCGCGTGCGATCCAGCGAATGACTTAGTCGAGAAGATTGTACCGGGTTCAGAGTCAGAGAGCGGCGTGGATGCATGGTGTGGGGCAGCAAGATTCATGGGCGCAAAAGAATTTAGGCTAGCTAAGATGGAGTGTGAAGTTGGCTTCGGACCTTTGGTATATTGTTTGATCCATCAGATTGATTACGTGCAGACTTGGGTTAGGTAGATTAATTCCCTGTTGTCTCCAGATTAACACAATAATCAAAGCACACAGTATAACTTTAACCTTTCTCGACCCTCGTGCCTAAACTAATTTTCTTCCTCGCAAACGTAGGGTGAAGTGCTTCTGCTTTGCTGGTTGATCCCTTCCTAAGATCCCATGCATGCTTAATAAGGCCCCGTAAACATAGGACGGGGAAAAGTGCAGGAATTGCAAGTCATGACTTGTAGATTCCTACATGATTCTAAATTGCAGGAATTATACAACATAGTTGTTTGGATGCTCCACAGGAATTTTGCAGAAATTGTTTCTTTAGAAGAGACAGAAAAGGAGAGATAAAGACACATGTTGCATTGGACTTCTCAAAGGAAGTGAAAAAATGAGGTTTGAGCAAGTATTTAGAATCCTAAAAAAATAGTATAAAGTAAAGGAAAAATTCCTATAGGAATTTTCAAAGCTAATCCTACAATCCAAAGGGCACATAGAAAAAATTTCCTATAGGATTCCATTACTACGAAATTCCTGCAAAATTCCTTCATTCCAAACGGGGCCTAAGAAGCGAGATGGGAGAATTTTTTTTTCTTGCTTCATGTGAAAAATCTGGCACTGACAGTGTCTTTTTCCTTGAGGGACGCGCATGCATGATGGAGAAAAGAGGCCAGCTATTCATCAAGTCGCCCGAAATTTCTGTGTGCCAGTGGATTTTCACTGTATTTCCGTATAGCCCAAAGTGCCCTTTATTTCACACTGCGCTCGTTTATCCAACACTGTTCAAAACTTCTTCTCCTCTGCTGCTATCTTCCTTCCACCACCGTACCGTCTTCCCGCTGAGCCGACGACACAATCACGCCATGGCACCATACCTACCTGTGAAGAAGATATTCTGATCAGGATGAAATACCATCCCGATCAGAATATCTTCTTCGCAGGGACTTATGTCCACATATAGTATTGTTCAGCAAAACATATATATGTTTGCAGTATCTTAAGCAAGGAAATTTTGAACTAAAGCCACGACACATTTTTTTGGATCAGAGGGAGTACGTTCACAAAATGTAATAAGTATAGACCAAATATATAGAGCACTAGACTACAACATCAACGAATGTGTGAAAACTGCATGATGTTATAAAGAACATTAGTCACTCACCATCTTGCCAGCTGCAGATATTCCTAGTTTCAACAACCTTCATATCAGCGCTGAAGTTGCTTGAGCATCCAACATTTAGTCTCAACACATATTCGTAACCGCCTGAAAACTTGAAAAGTCTCTCCCTGGCCTGTAATACTACCGCACACTATATGGAGAAATAGTGTTTTGTTCAAGACTCTCATTCTAGACCCTCCAACAGTATATTGCTTACAGTGTCATCATCAGCTGTTTGGAAGGAATTGTCAACTTCTCTAGGCTCATCTCCATCAACTGTCCCAACTAACACACGATGTGTCTTGGAATCAGGTACCCATCCCTTGTCTAGCATTTGATCCAAAAACTTACATGCCTCACTTTTGAAGCCTTCTTTGATAAGGCCATAAATGATAATGTTATAAATTCTAGGGCTTGCCATTCCATCTATACTTGCCACTTTCAGTAAACTTTCTGAAACCCTGCTTAGTAACGAAAACACGGCCATATCAGGGACTAATAGTTCAAATGTCTCTTGGTCAGGAACAAAGCCATCATTCACCATTTTGTTGAACAACAGAGCAGCCTCAAGAATTGTCTCCTTGGTAAGGAAACAACGCACAAGAACATTGTATGTGTAGCTGTCCAATAGACAACCTTCCATCAGCATCTGTGCAAGGAGAAGCAACAGATCCTTCTCCTTCTTCAAATGCAGTAGTGCATGGATAATTGTGTTATAAGTTGAAAATGCACAAGAAGTGCCAGTGCAAACAGCTAGCGAACGCATTCTGATTGCGTCACGTATCATTCCAGCCATACAACTCACTTGGATTAGTATATCAAGCGCTTCATTGGTAAGGCTGCAACCTCTTTTGCAGTGATATTTAAAAACTTCAACAGCTTCTTTGATCCGCTCCATGTGGCACAGACCTTCTACCAGTTGCGAGAAAGAATCTGAATTCAGTACCAAATTGCTAACACTGGCTCTTCTGAACATATCTAGGGCAGTCCTGTACAAACCTAACTGACAGTAACAAGATACAACAGAAGAATAAGTACTCTCATCAGCTGTAAAAGAAGAAACTGTCATTCTACCAATAAGCTCAGATGCTCCTCTAATGTTCCCTTGTTTGCAGAACTGGGTGATAACTATGTTCCATGAGCGACAATCAACCAGCCCCCTTGCGCGAAATTTCTCAAGATAGCTAACTAAATCTCGCAAGGTGCCTGTTTTACATAACTCTCTCAACAGTACATTATACGGTTCTGTTTCTGCGACATCATTTACCTCAAGAAAACTCACAGCTTTGTGGAACTGGGATAATGTACAGTAGCAATCTACAACATTCACATACGTATTTGTCATCGGTGCATGACCTGACGCTGTCATTTCTTTAAATGCTGTGACAGCATCATCCAATAGTTGGTTCTCACACAAACATTTAATCAAGGCACTATACAAATGTAGGTCCAACTGAAGGCTATCTTGTTTCAGCATTTGATGCAATTTACTTGCCTCCTTGGGTTTATTGAACTTACAAAATAGGGGCAGCACTTGAACATAAAAGCAGCTATCAGGGATGCATCTCAGCTGCATCATCTTCTCAAAGAGTTCTATCGATTCATCTGCTCTGCCGTGAGAACAAAGTGCTGTTATGAGTATCTTGAAAGTACGGCTATTAGGGGTACACCTTTTCTTGCTCATCCTGTCAAACTGAATCAATGCCAGGTCTAATTTACCAGCTTCACACAACACCTCAATTAACCAATTCAAGGTTTCCACATCAGGAAGGACCCCAGCCTTCACAATCTCCATGTATGCCCGAATGAATGGTCGCAAACCCCTCCCTTCCTTGACTAAACCACACAGCACAGCATTGCAAGATGACACTGAGATCTTGAGCTTCCCAGAGCAAGCATTCTGAATCACCAGCAAGGCTTCATCGTAACGGTTCTTATTGCTCAGGAACTGAACTAAATCGTTCAAGATTTTGTCCAATATAGGGGCATTCAATTTAATCATCTCCTTTAGGAGGCTGTCCATCTCATCACAGTTCCCAACAACACCGAGCTTGGAGATCATGCAGGCATATGTGTCAGCCGTATGAGCGAATATCCTCTGACTTGATGCCCATTTAAATATCCGAAGGGACAAGTTCAAATCTGAAGTAGAATCAAGAACACGTGTCAGTATCTCTGGCCGGAGATTGTTGTTCTTGAGCGACCGGATTGCAGATTCGAACTCAGTGGACCCCGCTGTACCCCCAGAAGCACGAGAAGCAGGCACATCCGAGCAAGAACAGTATGTTAGCCTGCTCGACAGCAGGCGCAGTCTTGAAAACCGTATGCATGATGCAGCCTTAAGAGCCATGGAGGCAACTACATGATTACAGAATCATTCTATGCTGCCAAGGCGCAACTCATGGAGTCATATTAGGATTAGAATGTTCAAGAAAACTGCAAGCCTGTGATCCCCTGAAATAAAAACAAGAAAAACAAAATGAAACCAGGAACACTTGTGGTCGCATCCCAAAAACTACAGCTACCGGTAGAAGTATTTCTGATGTAAATACAGGATCATTTAACTATGGATGGGTGGATCAAGAAAGGAGCAGGCCGCGGCATAATTCTGCATAAGTAAGGCATTTTCACTAAGCATTTCATGGTGTTGAAGCAATCAGTCACACACACGGGACAAATCTTATGAGGTGTGGCCACTGCTATGCAATTACAGTGTTAATATATGTACATCAGGTTTAGTTCGCACCATTAGTAAGCTCCACAAAGGCAACAATTCCCACTCACAAGGAGGTATTCTATTAATGAACGCTGCATTGGTGCATTGACTGAATGAAAAAAAAAGGAAAACTCAGATATCAACGGCAGAGAGCTAGAGAAGAGGAACCGCATCCCGCACCTGCCGTGCCGCCTGGTCGCGTGCCCTGCTTTGCCGCTCTACCGCGGCAGCCCGGCGAGCGCTGAGCGCACGCCACGCCGCCTTGCCGTGCCGCACTCGCCTGGGTCCTGCTGGCTACGCGGGGCGATACCCGCGAGGGAACGAAGCTTAGATTGTGCTGCCGGAGTAGATTGGAAGGTCCGGGTGAGAGCCGAGGCGTGCGGCGGCGGACGGGCTCGGATCCGGCGGCGAAGTTTGACGGTGGCGCAGAGGGGGGAGTGGAGAGACAAAGAGGAGAGCAGAGATGCCCCAGCTCGGCCTTGTGGGCCGCGGCCCAGTTAGAGCCCCGCGCCGGTAAATGTACAACTTGACAACCGAAGACTTAGCCCTCAAAAAAAAAAAAGACAACCGAAGACTTCTCAACAACAAAAACTTGACAACCGAAGAGTTCTAAAAAATTCCCTACAAAAAGAGTTCTCAAAAACAAAAACTTGAAAACCGAAGAAGAACGGGATTTTTAAGAATCTGACGTCACTTTTTTAAGCATGGAAAATCGAACCTTTTTATGACATCATGGAAAAATAGGTTATCGTGAGGATGAAAATTTCTATAGCAAAGCACGGCAAAAAGAGACTTGTATAATGAGTATAATTGATACATGCAATGAGATATTTTTTAATAATTTGGGAAAATCTATTAGATAGTTTTCAAATAGAGATCTCTCGAACAAAAGAGTGTCGCACATTTAAGATGCCAACGGGTTCATTTTTTCTACTTTACTTTTTACAACACTAGTTATCAGCTCAATTAGGAGCTTTCACGTGGTAATGACTGTTAGGCAAACCTAAAAATAGTTTAGGGAGTAAGCATATGTTGTGGATAAGTTCAACCTATGTAAAACCATGCAATCCATAAATCAAATATTGCAATGATTTTTTTTTTTGCTCATGATTGATGTGTGAACTATCATTTTGTGTATATCATATTTATTTTTGCATCATCCTTGTGGCTTATGCGTCAAGCGTTGAGAGTAGAGAAAATAAAATGAAACTAGTTGTACTTATCTTATGTATAACGATTGTGTGCGTCCCTAACTATATAAATAATACATCATTGGTTACAGTTAAAAGGAAAATTAATGCTTAGTCCAAAATAATATATTAGTTTTTTTCCTTACTTAGTTTAGCAAAAGAGCAATTTGATAAAAGAGATTTTTTTAGTAGAACTTTGTTGACTTCGAGTTTTAGCCTTATCCACATGTAAAGCATGTATATGCAACTTGGATAAATCCATCTGGCTAGCTTTTTTATATATACAACTTGTTATTTTGTAGATGGGAAAATATGGAATTCGTATATTTGTTTTCATGTGGTTGTTAAATAGTAAAGTGTCAAATTCGTCATTTTTATAATCTCAAGTAAGGTTTCAAATTTTGATTTGAATTTTTGTGACAACATACATTGCTCGAGATAAAAAATGACAAATTTGACCCTGTACTATATAGTGACAAATTTGACATTTTTGTATCTCGAGCAAGGTTTCAATTTTTGATTTGAATTTTTATGACAACATACATTGATGTGTCAATGCCCTAATTTTTTTCCCATATCTTTCGAACATTTTTGAATGTGCAACAGTGACCGGTGCACTGGGTAGCACCAATTGCCCCGGTGCAGATACATCTCGGGAACGTATCTGGTGCACCGGGGTAATTGGTTCTACCGATGCACCGGACCCGTTGCACATTCAAAAATGTTCAAAAAAAATCAATGCATTGGCACAACATTAATGTATGTTGTCACAAAAATTCAAATCAAAATTCGAAATATCGCTCGAGATACAAAAATAACAAATTTGACATCAGTGTGCTAATGGGCCAAAACTGAAACCCAACTTGTGTTATGTACTATTAAGTGTCAAAATTGTCATTTTTGTATCTCAAGCAATGTTTCGAATTTTGATTTGAATTTTTTTGATAACATAAATTGATGTTGTGTCAATGTACTAAATTGTTTTTGGATTTTTTTCGAACGTTTTTGAATGTGCAACGGCGGACCGCTGCGCCGGTAGCATCAATTGCCCCCGTGCACCAGATACATCCATGTAAGATTTGTTCTCCCTGAGAACAAACAACGATTTCAACCAAAGAATGGGTAAAGAAAATGGCGCTGTTGATATTTAAATAGTATCACTTTCTCCGTACAATTTGTATAGCTACAACATTCAAGTATTTGTATAGCTATAACATTCAGATATGTATGCCCAACAATATCATTCAGCTATGTATCTGACAACATCAATATATGTATCAGTATACCTATGATTCAGGACAGGTGAAGCATAAAGTTCCAGAAGACGAACATAACATAAATACATGTGTTCCTCCTTCATGTATGGCACGGCCGGCACTGGCCTTGCGCCCCTCCTCGCTGCCCGCATCGCGACCACACCCTGCCCTGGGGTTCCGGGATGGCGGTGACGGTGGCCCACAACCACGCTCTCCCTTGAGTCTTGCCCTGCCCTGGGGTTCCGGGATGGCGGTGACGGCGGCCCACAACCACGCTCTCCCTTGAGTCTTGCCCTGACCTTGGGTTCCGTGATGGCGGCGGTGGTCTCTGAAGTTGGCGGAGGAGGAGGCTGGGAACCCTGGTTCCACAATGGCGGCGGCGGCCCACAACGACGCCCTAGGAAAAAGATCGAGGCAGAAGTTGGATCGAGGGAGGAGTGGCAGTGTACGTTTTTTTTCCTTGTGTAGTTTTTTAGTGAGATTTGGCATTTTAATGGAAAGAAGAGAAAATCGAGTGAGACAGGGTGGTGGGAGGTGAGGCGGAAATAGACCAGTGAAAAGGAGGATGGTGAAAGATGAGGCAGACCAGTGAAAAGGAGGATGGTGAAAGATGAGGCAAGAATAAACCGTGGATGCTGGCCAAGAGGGGGTAGTGTCCGTACTCGCCGGCTCGCAGGCAGGAAGGTGCGCTCTCAGGTGGAGTCTGCACTCTGCAGCTAGACGAGCGTGCACAAGCAGTCACTGAAATTGTATTCCGCGTACGATGATCTCACTGTTGCCGTCGCCAACCATCAACAACTGTCAAACATTATGTGCAAGATTCCGCAGAAAAACTAAACACACGATGTGCAAGTTGCAGTGGTAACACGCTACAATAGTTACTACTAGTATAGTACTAGTAGTAGTAAAAAAACAAATGCATGCACGTAATGATTAACTTGGCCCGTCTCGTTCTCCTGCACTAGTGGTTGGTGAGCATGCAGTGGTTGAGCACACGTCAACCAAATCTTCAGGCCACGGAAATGGTCGACTCCCGCTTTTCCTTCCTACTAACGACGGACTGCACTCACACCAAAGACAAACGAACGAACGTCAAAGTAAAAAAGAAGCTTCTGATCTCCTACAAGTTGCAACGGAGCAGTTTGCACAAGTTTCCATATACAATGCGCAAGTTGCGAACATGCACGCGTTTTACAGTCTTCTTCGACATGGAACTGCAGAGACTGCGTCTTATCCTCCAACACGCGTGCATATACTATATACTTTTAGAGCGAGAGAGGGACAAGGTTTACATTGCCTTCCGCTTCCAATCATACATTCTCCAAAATATAGCATGAATCTCAAAGCAAAGGTGAACGACACCACCCGTAGAAACCATGTATAGTGTTGGTATGCACCTTCGACACCACGGAGCTGGCCACACGGGCGTACGACCCGACTAGCTACACTCTGGTACGGCCAGAGCCCAGCGGTGCTCAAATTCCCTGAGAAGGTCGATTACACGGAATTCCTCGTCCCTCCCATAGTCCCATTTCGGACCGTGTGCCATGAGGAGGAGAAGGAGCACCGCCAAGCCGAGGCGCAGCATAACGTCAAGGCCAACGATGTGCTCTACATAGCGAAGCTCGTTGACGCCGATCCAGAGCTCCTCGCGCGGAACATTGCATACTTCAAGGAGGAGGAGGCACGACGCAATAAATTACAAGATGGGGAGGAGGATCACCGGATCAAAGTCGAGGTCGATGAGTTGTTCGAACAGCTCGAGATGGAGCTCTTCGACGAGGAGGTGAAGCCATCTACCATCAATGACCATGAGGCCGATCCTTCTGCACCAGGGTGGTGGATATCTCGTCCGGTGATGACTTCAATGACTTTTGCAAGCCTCAAGCTACGCCATAGAGTTAGGTTTATCGTAATGTATTGCTATGAATCTCTCCTAACGTACAACCCCTTTTAGGGCACTAACTTTTGGGGCATCTATTGGAGATGCTCTTGGGCCACATGGATGGATGCACCGGATACATTCTCCTCGCAACGGAAGAATATCCGGTGCACTTGGTGCATCATACTCCTGTAGCACATATTAGAATGTTTGATTTTCTTTTTTATAAAATAGCACATTCACAACATCAATGTCTGTTGTCGCAAAATTTGAAACATAGCTAAAATGACAAATTCAACACTGAATAATACATACCATAAGTTACCTTTATATTTGGCTCATTATCACATTGATGTCAAATTTGTCATTTTGTATTTCAATCAATGTTTCAGATATAAAACTTTATGACAACATACATTGATATTGTGTTAATGTGCTAGATTTTCTTTCCAGATTATTCAAATATTTTAAAATGTGCTACATCATCGAGTGCATCAGTAGCACTACATGGATGGGTGCGCCGGATACGTTCCCTTCTCACAACTTATAACTTGGAATCACGGTTGGTTCAAAGTGGCCCCACAGCAAGTCTGAATCATGCTCTCTTCAACACAAAACCTATATATGAACTTTCAGAGATGCAAGATGAATCTGTATGTGGTCCTTACTTTAAACTGTGGAAGTACAAAAGCTTATAGCACTGGATGCAACCAATGGGAGACGCCGTACATAATACGCTCAACTGGTTTGGATGACGGTTTAGATATATACTATGTGTGTAGGCACATGTTCCTGCTTTTTAATAATCATTGTTGGTTGTGGCTTTTTTTCCTCCTCGGTGTGTTTGTGTTGTACGGGTATTGCATGATGTTACTTGCATTTTAAATAAATATAGATGTGTGCATCGCAATGATGCAGGGGCAGGGGGTTTCAATCTTCTTTTCTGAGAAAAAAACATAGCTCTGTGTATGAATGAATATTTAAGCTCAACTTTATAGAGGAAAAAAAGGGGAACTAGCTATTGCATTTTGTACAACTATAAATTTCAGAATTTTCTTGTTCAAATTAACATACATGTCTGAAATGTGATATTACATATTAAATGAGCAAAGGAGCATATACATCTCAGAATCTAGATGACCCATCACCCAACAACATTTAGGTTAAACAACCTCATGCCATAGTTATAGTTGCCTAGTTCCCATGAAGAGAATCGTCCCCAATGATAGTGGGGCCCCTTTGAATAATTAAGCATTGTGGGCATTATTTGGTCAAAGAAAACATGCGGCAGACATGAGAAGAGAATACATCAATTGAAAACAGGGGGCGAATTAGCTGAAATGGCCATGTCAAACACTTAACATGCAATTGCTTAATGATAAATAAAGGGCAAATTGAACAAAATAAAACTTATACTGTATTATATTAGAAGATACACAGGTTTCTTGTGTTAATCAAGGCCGGCAAAGGATGTTCAACCGATGAGGAACCGGTACTGGATTACGACATGTAGTTGAAGACACTGCATATAATCAAAGTGGTCAGGTGAGCTTAAGCCCCCCGTAGACCTTCCACAGAATATATTAGTTAAAGTGATCATAAATCATATGCAGGGTGATATAAAATGCATCACATCATTAGGGAAAACGAGTTAGCACCTTAGCATCTCACCTCACCAGCGGCCGATCCAGAGAGCCCGACGTGCCACCTGATGCGGCTGCCGGCCGGCGACGACTAACGGCAGCAGCAGCCAGCCAGCCGCCAGTCACGTCAGAATCCGGTGCAGAACCGGGTGGTGACGTCTGAGGTTCCCGCGGCACACGAAACCGCAGAATCATGCGAGATTAAGAGCAAACTAATATCGGCAATCAAAGACCGAAAACACAATTAGGATGTGATTAACTAATGGAGATGGTTGCATTACGACATCAGTCACCATCCAGAACAGAGATTCTCATGCAGGCCAATCTATTAGTATATGCATGCTACCCTGCATCAACAGACAGGGGTGCTGTTTTTTCAGCCATGGATATATTCCCTGCGATTTATGGTTCCTGCTAGTAGATATTCTCTTTGTTTGGGTTTCTATTATAATTTTGTGGTGATTCTTTGTTTACGTTTCGATCGAGCCGTGACAGCTACCGGACGACGGTTTTCAGTTCGTGGTGTTAGAAAACTGCAGACGGTCCTGAGGTGACCTCACCACCACTAAACTACGATGATTCCCATAGTTTCAGTACAACAACTACGGTTCCTACTCTCTCGGTAGACTTTCTGGTTCACTGGTTGCTCGTGATGAAAGACGAAGGGGGTATCCAGCTGTCCTTAACAAGACTTTGAACATTAAGCTGAATACGGATAATCTTGCACTGTCAAATGTCAACCATCCTCAAATCCTGTCGAATTCGGACGAACCCAAATGTCAATGGAAGAAGTAGAAGAATTTGTCCTAGCTAGGGTGGAACAAAAGATGCTTTTCATCACAGGAAAAAAGGTTAGGATAACAGATATTATATGCCTATCAGAAGTAGTAGACTCCTAACAGTAGCTTAAAATGATGACCACCGGCACCGAATAGTGAATGCAAGACGAAAAGGCCAACAAAGTTGCGCCTCTGCACTATGGCAAACAGGAAGAATCGATGAAGCCCCCGTCGTCAACATTCGTGCAGGCCACACATAATTTCGGTGGTTTGTGCTGATTGGGTGGCGAAAGCATATTATACATAAGCACAAGAGCCAAAGAAGATTCGATAAAAAGGCCGACAAACACGGGGAATAACTAGAGCCAAAGGCATATCTCTCTTTCTCGCATGTTAAGTTAAAGGAAAGGATCATGTGTAGAGTAGTACAGTATAAAACTAATACTTTGCCGGGGCAGGTCATCATTTGATCCAGCACTAAAAGAACATGATTAGCACACATAATCAAGACCGGCGAGATAGATAGATAGATCAACATCATTGCAAGGAAATGGCGTTGTGAATGGGTGAGGATTTCCATTAACAAACACGATGCAACCGTGCGAGATAAATAAGAATCTAAATCAGAAGGCAAGTTGGGGCCAGAAGTGAGCGCAGTTAATGAATGAAGCTAAGCAATAGAAGACAAAGAGTTTTAAAGGAAATGCAAAACTTCATAAAGACAAGGCATCTTACTATGTGCACTAATTTCATCACCAATAACAGATGCATAATACTTTATGTGTGTGCTCTGTTGGTGCCACTAACTCTGAAGAACACCGTCAGTGGGATTTTGTCACTGAGTGCAGGCATCAGTCAGTCTTTGACCGTGTCCTCAGGGCCAAGGAGTCGAGCACAAAGGCACACGACAGCCAAAAGTCAATTTGCTAGGCAGGAAAAAAGACGGACGATCACCCATCACCCACTCCGCCAAAATCCGCAGTATGAACAAAATCGCGTCGCGAAAACGAAAACGAAGCGGTCAACCGAAGCTTTAGTTTTGGATGCGCGCCAATGATACCCGGACATCATCATTAAACAAAGAGAGATAGAGAGAGAGAAAGAAAGCGGACATGAACAAACGATGCACTCGCCGCCAACGAACACCCAAGGAATAATAAGAGGAGCAAGGCGCCGGCCGGCTATATAAGCCGAATTGAACGCACGGCAGGACATATGCTACAACACAAACCCCAAGAAAAGAAGCAGCAGACATTCCATTACCTATGGCGATGATGGGGTCGACGGCGGCGGTGCTCCTGGCGCTGGTGGTCGTGGCGTCGCCGCTGCTGCTGGCGGCGTCGCAGCCGGTGGGGGCGCCGCCCGCGGCGCCGGCGACCAACAACTCGCGGCTGGAGAAGGCGTACGTGGCGCTGCAGGCGCTGAAGAAGGCCATCACGGACGACCCCAAGAACCTGACCAAGAACTGGTGCGGCCCCGACGTGTGCAGCTACTACGGCGTCTACTGCGCGACGGCGCCCGACGATCCCTGCGCGCGCACCGTGGCCTCCGTGGACCTCAATCACGGCGACCTGGCCGGCACGCTGCCGGAGGAGCTGGGCCTGCTCTCCGACCTCGCCGTCTTCCACCTCAACTCCAACCGCTTCTGCGGCGCGCTGCCCGACGCCCTCCGCTCCCTCCACCTCCTCCACGAGATCGACGTCAGCAACAACCAGCTCACCGGCAACTTCCCCTCCCAGTTCCTCTGCCTCCCCAACGTCCAGTACGTCGACATCAGGTACGCACGCATCATCATCATCATCATCATCATCTGTACCTCCGGTCCTGCGCCGCACTTCACAGAGGTTTAACAACTGGCTGTCTGTCTGTCCATGGCGTCTCTCAAGGTTTAACAACTTCTGCGGCGAGGTGCCGGCGGCCATCTTCGAGAAGAAGATCGATGCGCTCTTCATCAACAACAACAACTTCGAGTTCACGCTGCCGGCCAATTTCAGCAGCTCCACGGCGTCGGTGATCGTGCTGGCCAACCTGCCGCGGGTCGGGGGGTGCCTGCCCAGCAGCATCGGCGACATGGCCGGGACGCTCAACGAGCTGATCCTCCTCAACAGCGGCATCTCCTCCTGCATCCCGCCGGAGATCGGCAAGCTGGACAAGCTCACCGTGCTCGACCTCAGCTCCAACGGTATCGTCGGCAAGCTGCCCGACACCATCGGCAATATGCATGCCCTCGAGCAGCTCAACGTCGCCAACAACATGCTTGCCGGCGAGATCCCCGAGAGCATCTGCGCGCTGCCAAACCTCAAGAACTTCACCTACTCCCACAACTTCTTCTGCGGCGAGCCGCATCGGTGCCTGGAGGTGCCCCACATCGACGACCGGCAGAACTGCATCGCAGGTCGCCCCGACCAGCGGCCCGGCGAGCAGTGCATCGAGTTCCTCCACCGGCCGCCGGCCCAGTGTGCCGCGCACGGGCAATCATCGCCACCGCCGATGTATGCGCCTCCACCGCCGATGTACTGATACGTGGCAGACGGCAATACTGCAATTTGTAACTGTTTGCTGCCTTTGTGCCGTGAGAAAGGATAAAAATGTACACATTTGGTATATACTGTAATCTTTATTTTTCGGAAACAAGAAATAACAATGGATTGATAGATTTGCGTTACAGAACTCAACTGAAAGGCAAAGAATCATTTCAGTGTTCTTCACCTGTTCCTTCCTCGTTTCAAGAAACAATTGTTTAACAGTCTACTAGTCCTGCATAATCATATGACAATAATGCGCTAATTTGGCGGTGTGGCTTCTGCAAAAACTTGGTGTAGTTATTAGTTAGATCGATCTGGGATGGAGTTAGTTGAGGGGCCATGCTATGTCAGAATTCAGTTCAGAATTAGTTGTTAGGACTTACGACCACTGCTAAAAGTGGGAAAAGAGGGAGCCTATCACTGTTTTTCTCTGTAAAGGTTTAAAAGACGACTCTTCGGCTAAACTAAATAACCCAAAGTGTTAAACATATGAACCCTGGGGATTTATAAAAAGCACATAATATCATGCCATCTGGCAGCTCGGATATCAAACCCTGCCAAAGAGCTCCATTTCAAAAGGATATGGATGTCCTTGTCGAAAAAGGAAGCTACAAAAACAGAGGACGGAGCAAGTAATGGGAAAAAACATAGACAATAAAGTAAGTAAGATTCTAGCTAGGGTACCACCAAATTATGAACAGTAATGGCACAAACGCAATTGATAACGATTGGTCAGAGAAGAATTAATAAAAAGCGAGTACCCGTTCATGGATTCCAGCTGCAAAGAGGGGTTTCTTTTACTCGTTGGTTGATCAACTCAAAGGGCAAGAAGCTTCTTCTACCCTTCATCTTTGCTGGCTCCAGGCAGGCCGGGGTTCCTTTCCGCAATCCACTCGAACAAGACGGCTTCATGGTTTCACCCAACCCATGTGAATTTTGCCGCTTGACCTTGTCACACACAGCAGCACAGTAAGCTCAGACAACTGAAAGATTACGGTGTACTGTTTCAAAGTCTATCAAGTATATAATACAGTATGTCAACTAATTTTCAGAGACGGGCAACAGCGACGGTAACTGTTTGTATGGTGGCAAGAACATGTATGGTACGACTGAAGAACATAGCCACAAGAAATCGAAATAAAACACATGAAACTTAGTGGCCGTGCAGCATGGCATAACTGACCTTTTCATCATTGATGGGTTGAGTTAATGACAAGCTGGCGTATGTTAACGAGGCAAATACTCAACATATTTGCAGATAATGGAAGAGGAAAAAGAAAATGTGGCTATGGATATGACTAAACCAGCTGTTGGACCAAGTAAAACATGCAACTTGCCCTAGAATAATCGATAAAGAAAGATGATGGCGTTCTTACCTCGTTATTTAAGTAACCGCTCATGAAGGTGCAGACAAAGTTATGTGATAATCAAATCCACCAAGATAGTAGGTAACCTAATGCATTGTCATGTTCATACGGCAAGGTCAGTCTATCAAGTTAAATGAAGCACGGCAATCTAAACATATCTCAGGATGTATAAATGGTGGCTGATTTGGCAAGCATTCATTTCAGTCATCTAAACAATGTGGTTTGCTACCCTATTTATGACATAACATCGAAATGATGATGCCGAAGACCGAACTGATACACTATTCTATGCTGGTAGCAGGAACATGGGGTCTGAGATCTAATTCAGTTATGACTATTCTTAGACATGTACTGGTAGGCGATGCCACGAGTTTTATTAGGACAGCACATGCAAGAAAGAGATGTATGACCAACCTGAACCTTAAAAGCACAGTATATGATGAAGTGTTGATTTCATTCAGTAGAAGATTAGGTTTACCAAAAAGTTTTGCATATGTCCTAATCTCCTATGAGTTATAATGAGAACAAAAAAAAAAATCACAAAGTCCCCTTCCCAGAAATGTTACAGACACAATGAATTCAACCTTGGGATGTGAGTGTAACAGTGATACTATAGAAGCAGACTACAGACCATGCTCCAGTTTCACCTGAATAGTACAAGGGGAACCAATCAACTCATGCAATACCAACTTACATAGCAAATGTTGCCAGTAAATCAGGTAAAAAAAATCTAGCATCATACAGAGATAAAGATATACAGATGGTCTGATGGTCCTACCGGACATGTCATCAAGATTAGTTGAATCTGCATTGCAGTCAGAATCTTGCAACATTTTAACCTCCAATGCTGGAATGGAGCAGCCAGACTATTTCAAATTTCAATGCCAATTAACTAAGGTAATGTTGACTAGACACATTTATATGTGTTTTCGGTGTCATGACACCATCTTCCGTGGAATGAACAGAGCCCATGTGACTCTGCTTTACAGCTTATTTGCGCTATCCACATTTTTCTAACAATTTGGGCTATTGAGGATCGAAGGCTCAATCATATTGTAGAAACAACCACTTATTCACAACCTGAGGCTTCATGTTGCTTTTGTCAGGCTGATGACCTTCCAGTTCGAGGGGCAGAGTTGTGTACCAAACAACTATTAGTATTTTCCTTTCCTTGGAAACATTTTAACATTTCGACTACTATTATCTGATAATTATCCCATGTAAGATATGATCTAACTCCACAGCAGGGCACGGTGCTGATCTGCATTGCTAGCATGGATCTGGTCAGTTGGAGAAAATCATCGGGCTAATCTGTAGAATACATAGCAACTTTATTCATAAAATAAAGTGACAAAACATCTGTTTTCCTCTCTTTCCATGTGCAACAGTAATAGTGCTGACAACAAAATAAGATTAACAACATTTTAAGGTCCAGATGGCATTGTTTTATCATTATACATCGGGGAAGATATGAACCTCAGAAAACTGAGTGAAACAATCATGAAATGAACAAACTAACACCATCAGAATCACCTGTTTGGGCTTATGGGCTTGACATAATATGTGAGTAATATGAAAAGAAGATGGCAGGAAACGATTTTAAGTTGCTGTTGTGCATTATCAAGTGGGGATGTGAAAATGGTAAATAACTAAAAATGAGAGGGGTGTCAATTAACTGACAAGTTTGCAAGGTATATGCAAAATGCATTGAGTTCAGGTATTCAGTCTTTACAGAATTTGGAGAAAAGGTGTCCCTGAACCCATACCCCATACCAACTAGCTGCATTTGCAGTAAGACTTCAAAATATCAAAGAAATGTACTTATAGTTAAAAAAATGGGGAATTGCATTCAACAACAACAACAAAGCCTTTAGTTAAAGTTGGGGTAAGCTAGAGCTGAAACCCATAAAGATCTCGAAACCAACTCATGGTTCTGGCACGTGGATAGCTACTTCCATGCAATCCTGTCCATGGCTAGTTCTTTGGTGATGGGGAATTGCATTCAATGAATAATAAATCAGGTGACCATAGTATGATCGTCGAATTAACTAAACAGGGTTTTCAAGTTAAAAATTAAGATTTATAAAGAAACAAAATGCAACTAGAAACATTATTTTTCAACACCACAAGTGTTATACATCTTTCTGTTGAGAAAAGGAAATAAACAGTTCGGTACAACCAAGTTCAAGCTCCATCGAAACAGTATATCAGAACAAATAGAACAAAAAGGAAAAGAAAAGAAAATGTCAGGACTGTTACAGCTAATAGAGAATTATAACTGCATACAGACTCCCATGTTAGCAATCAATTACATTCATGCTAAGAAGTAGTACTGCAATCTGCCAATAGACTCCTATATTAGCTCACAACCTCACAGTATGATGCACATGTCAACTCCCTATCAAATAGGTTCCATCTTCTCATAGAATTTTCTTTAGAATATTTACAAGAATGTAGGAGGTTGTCTGCATACACTAATGCTATACCTATAAGGTTGTAACAGATAGTAATGCTCTGCAAGGATCATGGTAAAACATGCAACTCAGGCCATCAGGAAGTTATGGTATTTGGCACGGGTATGACTAAACAGTACATGTCCAGTAACAAACTTTGGGTTAGTTCTTATTGTTCAGTGCCATCAGTATTTGAAAATACTCTTCAATTGTCAGTTAGTTTGGCATGCATATAGAAGTTGACCGTACCTGAATGGACACAACAGAGATAGAGCATAGTGAAACAAAAATTGTGTTCCTAAAATCTACCAGTAGTCTCCACAAGAGCAGACCCCATCCTCAAAGTGGTGGAAACGATTTAGATCTCTGAGTATGATCCGCCTATTAAAGAGCATAGAGACAAGCTTTGCCATCGAATGACAATCTGGACATACACGAAGGTTCTTGACAACACGGAGAGTAGTTCCTGGAGATGTGTTTAAAAGCCCGAAAGAAATCGCCAGCTTCTCACTATGGTATCTTAGGCTTGTGGCCTTCTCCTCCTCACCCATTTGAACATGGAAGACCTGAGACGTATTAGGGACATAACCAACAAGTTTGAGCTGCTCAATCACTTCATCAACCATTCGGCATGCATCTTGTGATTGTGGGTGTCTTCCATCTCCTGCGAAGAACTCATGAACCCTGTTATCTATCTCAATTGAGCTACAGCCAGGCACCTTTACCGCCCCCTTTTCATTCATCAGCTTCCTTACCCTGTTCATCTCTTCCCATTCCCCAGTGTTGGCGCACAAATTCGAGAATATTACATAGTCACCACCATGAGTATCATCCAGCTCGAGAATCCTCTCAAAGACACATTTTCCAAGATCAACAGCTCCATGGCTTCCACAGGCAGAAAGCAACGTCCTCCATAAGATGGCGGTGGGCTTTATCGGCAGTTCATCAATGAACTGGTAAGCCTTTTCAAGCTGACCTGATCGGGCTAGCAAATCAGTCACGCAACCATAGTGCTTTATCCCAGGAACTATACCATACTCTCTCATGCTGTCGAAGTATTGTAGCCCTTCGCTCACCATGCCAGAATGGCTACAGGCATAGAGCACGCCTAGGAATGTGACCGCATCAGGCTTTATCCCTTGCTTCTTCATCTCTTCGAACAGTGAAATGGCCTC